GTGAAGTGAAGTAACGTGACGTCTTGATATATGTTAAGTGGGGATGTAAAGTGGAGGGGAGTAAGTTGGTTTGGCTCGCCAGAACAGATCGGCTGTCAGTAGCATCATGTCAGAGCAAGAAGTGCACACGTCTGTTGAGCAACGCATAATTATTAAATTCTTGTCGCGGGAGGGCGTAAAACCTGTTGAAATCTTGCGAAGACTAACTAAACAGTTCGCTGAAAAAACTCTTTCAAGGACCCAAGTCTACGACTGGCACAAAAAATTTTCCGATGGCCGAAAGTCAGTGCAAAATAAGACCTATGCACGCCGACCACGGACAAGCATCAGTGAGACAAATATTGTTGCGATCCGTGAGATGATTGAAGAAGACCGCCTTACAATATCGGAAATTGCTGCACATGTCGGAATATCGTATGGGTGTGCCCAATCAATCATTTCAGGTAATTTAGAGTATCGAAAAGTGTCGGCAAGGTGGGTTCCTCGCCTCTTGACGGAAGATCAAAAAGCAAACCGTTTTGCTGTGTGTGAGAGACTTCTGGCACGATATCGAACTGAGGGGGATGATTTTTTGAGACACATTGTCACCTGTGATGAGACGTGGGTGCACCATTATACCCCAGAGTCTAAGCAGGCAAGCATGAAGTGTCGAAAACCTGGAGAAGCAGCACCGCGGAAAGCCAAGACCCGTCTTTTTGCTGGAAAAGTTCTTGCAACGATGGGGATTGCAGAGGCATATTGCTCATCGATTTTCTCCATGAACGGCGGACAATTAATGCTGCGTATTGCTCGATGAAGTGAAACTGGCCTATCGACGAAAAAGGCGAGACATGCCTATTCGAAGTGTGATTTTGCTCCATGACAACGCTCGACCACACACAGCTGCATTAACCCGAGAAAAATTAAATAAAATTTATTGGAGTACACTGGAACATTCGCCCTACAGTCCTGATCTGTCACCGTGTGACTACCATATGTTTGGGCCATTTAAAGAAGAACTGGGAGGTCATCGCTTTGACGACGACGAAGGTGTAGAAACGTTCGTGCGCAATTGGTTACAGACGCGACCAGATTCATTCTTTGATGATGGCATTAAAAAGCTTCCAATACGGTGGGAAAAATGTGTAAATAAAAAAGGAGATTATATAGAAAAATAAAGTATATCCACAATTGTATTTACTGTGTAACGGTGCACTCCGATGCACCGTTCCGAATTCCCGGCAACAACATCGCCGGAAGCTGCCGCCCGGTAGAACACCCGTCGGGCAGAGGCAGGGGCGCGGTGCGCCCACATTTTTAATACTTATCAAAAACTGGGGCCGTTGTAATTCCAAAACGGCCGAGAATTGCCGAGCAAAGCCGACGCGGCCCGACCGACCGACCGGCGAAAACCCGTGCTCGGCGCAAACCCGAATCCCTCCGAACGGGCCCGACCGTACCGTACCTCAATTAACCCGTTCGGAAGGGGTAATACCGCCGCGCGCCGACGCGGGTAATTAGTCGGTATAAAAAGGCCGTGTTTCGGCTAATAGACACATTCTCCTGTTCCGCTCTTAAGCTGTATGCTCAAGAGAATTCACCAGGCACCTAAAATCGGCACTACCGCCCCGATCAAGTAGGTTGAGAGTGCTCAGCCTAAGCCGAGAGTTCTCGCTATCGCGCGGGGTACTGCCTCCATCCGCTCCTCCACATCCCGGCTGGCAAAACCCACGGAAGGTGGAGTTCAGAGCCGCCCCGATCGAGAGTTCTCGAGGCCAGCTGTTCTTAAACGCGATTCCAATTTATCAGCGCGATATTCCAGTTCGCGAAGAGCGCATATTATTTCGTGAAAATAACGTGTTGTTTCTCGGAATTCACCGGCTCTTTCTTCGTACACGGGATTCCCGGAACGACGGGATTCCCCGTGCAAGAATCGCGACAAAAACACCGTCATAACAACGCGAGGTCTTCGACCGATACCGAGCGCATATCCGCACGCGTCAAAACAACGTTTTTATACACGCGTATTATACCAGCGAATTATCGAGTTTACGCACCACGATTATACCGGCGCATTCAACCACCTGCATTTTACACGCGCTTTTAAACGTTTATACAGCGAACACGCTCACATTTATACTCACCACGCAAACAGTTATACACTCGCACACGCTCACCTTTATAATCGCAGCGAGATACACACTCTACTTGTACACACGCCTTCAATTTTAATAAATACTTTCTTTTCTTTTACATCGCAATTCGCTCACCATTCATTACCCCGAATCCGACGAGTTTATCCGTAATCTAATCTACGGGAAAAACGGAACGTTACGACTGTACCCATAAAATTTCGAAAAAATCCGGTTAATATTTGATTCACCCTCGTATATGAACAATTTTTAGTAATTAATTTAAGTTAAAGTGAAGTTATGACATTATATATATGTCATACTATTAAATTGTTGCAGCAATCTGCAAAGGAAAATGAAAAATTAAATTACTAAATAAAAATAAAAAGAATTTCGAATCTATTATATGTATGTATTATCTTTCGAGATTACTGCTACAATTTAATAGTGTGACATATTATTTGGGATCGCAACTTTAAATTGCGATTTTATTTGCCGGGACACACCCGAGAGGGTATCGCGAGTTTGAAAATCACGTAATTTCGCACTGGATGAGAGACGGGATGAAACAACGTTAAATTGTTACGTTGATTGTACCACAGTGACATCTACACAAGAGTGGCGATAAGTTTATTGCACAAAAATACACGATATGTACAAGATTTATGAGCTTTTGATGCGTGTGCGACGCTATTTCGAGTATTATAGCACGTCGAGATTCGTACTTGGTGTGGCGAAATCGCACTATACAATTGTTACCTTGATATAACGATACAACGCGTTATCAACTGTTCGCGTGAGATAGAGAGAGACGGCGCTCTATCGGCCGTCCGCGAGAGCGAGCGAGATCGCACGATTCACGGTTGAACGCACGAGATTGAGAGACAGCGTTCCATCAGTTGTCTGCGAAAGCGAGCGAGACGGCGCTCTATCGGCCGTTCGCGAGATCGAGCGAGACCGCACTATTCACGATTGCACGCACGGTTCGCGTGAGAGCGAGCGAAACGGCGCTCTATCGGCCGTTCGGGAGAGCGAGCGAAACCGCACGATTCACGATTGCACGCACTAGATTGAGAGAGACAGCGTTCAATAAGCTGTCTGCGAGAGCGAGACGGCGCTCTATCGGCCGTTCGCGTGAGAGCGAGCGAGATCGCACTAATCACGGGTGCACGCACGAAACTGGGAGAGACAGCGCCCTATCGGGCTGTCTGTAAAAGCGAGCGAGACCGCACTTTCCACGGCTGCACGCGCGAGATAGAGAGAGACAGCGCTCTATCGGGCTGTCTATAAGAGCGATTGAGGCGGCGCTCTTTTAGCCGTCCGCGAGATCGAGCGAAACCGCACTATTCACGGGTGCACGCACGAAACTGAGAGAGACAACGCTCTAAAGGCTGTCTGTGAGAGCAAGCGAGACCGCACTTTCCACGCCTACACGCGCGAGATAAAGAGAGACAGCGCTCTATCGGGCTGTCTGTGAGATCAAGTGAGATGGCGCTCTTTCAGCCGTCCGCGAGATCGAGCGAGACCGCATTATTCACGATTCGCGTGGGAGCGAGTGAGACAGCGATAGTTCACGAGCACACGAATGAGCGGAGGCTCAATGAGAAGGAGGCTCCACCTTATGCTCAGAGTGGAGGCGCTCTGACGAATCCCGGCACTCGCGCTCAGACTGTTCACGTGTGATACGGAGTCGATTCGTTCTACTGAGTTCGCGACTGATTGTTCGCGATCCTTTATGCAATGACGAGTGAATTTACACACTCGCGGTTTTAATGTCTCACTTGCGATATACTTAGAAACTTTTCAAGCTTATCACTTTCGGTTCGCTCTCAATTATGAAGACTTACACTTTCACAATTCGAACAAAGACTTTACGATTTTGATAAGAACTCAGCTGTGACTCCGATAAGAACTAGACAAAGACTCTCTCCGAGAGAGGCTTTCTCCCGGATAATAAGGATTTGATGGCGCATCGGATGATCCGATTTGAGCCTATCCGGTTCAGGGACGTCGAATCGCGTGATTTTCTGATTGCCTAATTAGCCAGGCTCATGTATTATTGCGCGATCACGCGGATCCTGGCTGATTTCGAAAAACCACCGAACTGAATCATATTTGTGAGTTCGCTTTGGCACGCACGGATGGCGCCAGTATTACCGGGAGTGATATTTTCGATCGAAATTCAGAGCGAATCCTGAACATACCGCCCGCCTTGAAATTATAATTTCGAAATAATTGCTTTTTTTATGCCGCTCGTTGTGACGGAATAATTTCGCAACAATTACATTATCCTTGCCGCTCGCCATGATGGAATAATATCGCGATCGAAGCGATTGAGAGGATAATTTGTCGGTTTTACATATTTACATTTATACATATTTACATCGTTACATAGTTATATATTTACATAGTTACATATTTACATATATACATTTTGCGTATTCATATTCGCGGTTCCGGGAATTTTAATTGTCGCTGGGCGGTTTATTCGCCGGATGTTCGATGTCGATAGGCAAAATGCATAACTTGACTATCGGTCGTTTGTACTCGGAATGTGCGGTGCGCACAGTAACTATGCAAACGTATCCGTCGGACCCGGGATGGCATTGCGTGATCCGGCCTAATTCCCACTTGCACGGCGGAACTAAGGAGTTGCGGATTAAAACCATTGTGCCAATTTTCACGGAAGGCTGTACTTGCTTCCACCTTGTTCGTTGCTGCAGAGTATTGACTTAGTCACTCTGCCAAATTTTCCAAAACCGCTTCGTAAGTTGACGAATCAATTGCCAGCGGGAAAGGCGATTTTCGTTAACGGATAAAATAGACGGTTCGCGATTCACCGTAATTGATGAATCGATTAAAAAATGACCCGGTGTAAGGGGGTTGTAGTTATCTAGAGTATCTGTGAATGGACTGATAGGGGGGTCGGGAGTTGAGGCAGGCCTCAATGCGGCAGAGGAGAGTAAAAAACTCTTCGTAAGTTAGAGTATGAGAGCCCAGAATCCGTCGCAAGTGATGTTTGACACTGCGAACTCCGGCTTCCCAAAGCCCGCCGAAATGCGGGGCATGGGGAGGGATAAATTGCCAGCGAATATTGCCAGTCGCAATTTTACTCTGGAAATCGGAATTACGCATTTCGTTCTGGTAAGCCTTTGATAATTCGGTGTCGACTCCCGCGAATGTGGTACTGTTATCAGAATACATCATGGACGGTAGACCGCGGTGAGCGCAAAAGCGAGAGAACGTGTCGAGAAACGCTTCGGTGGAATAATTGCTCGCTAATTCCAAATGAACAGCTCTGGAAGCTAGGCAGATAAATAGAACGATGTAGCTTTTTCGTGACGGAATTCCACGACCTGATGATGCGCGAGTGAAAATGGGGTCTGCATAATCTATCCCAGAATGGCTGAAAGCTCGAGCGGGCGTGGAGATTCGAGTTTGCGGAAGATCGCCCATTAATTGCGTGGGAACTTCGGCCTTTTCTCTTACGCAATTAACGCATTGATGTATAATCTGCTTGACCTGCGTTCGCGCTTGGAGAATCCGATAGTCTTGGCGTATAGTGGCTAATGTCAGTTGAACGCCAGCGTGTAGCGCTCGAACGTGAGCGTGTCGTATGATAAGCTTGACTATCGGATGAGGAGCTAATAGTATTGGATTTTTAGCGGCGAACGAAAGCGCGGAATGTCTGAGACGTCCGCTGATTCGAATAATTTTCTCTTCGTCTAGAAAAGGTTGCAGCGCTGTGAGCGGCGATCTTGATGGGAGTGATTGATTGCTCCTGAGTGCCTGAAGTTCCTCTGAGAATGTTTCCGCTTGAATGACTCGGAACCAAAATTGACGTGCGTTTCGGTATTCCGCCTCCGATAAAGCTTGACCTTGAATTTTTGAGGAGCGTGAAATTTGACTCCTTTTGCGGCACTTGTTCGCAAAACGCATGAGATATGCCGTGATTTTTATCAATTTTGGCCAGATAGAATATCTTGTCGCTAAGTCCCAACCGGCTTCTGTTTGAGCTAAGTGTATGGTAAGATTTCGATTCTCCTCGGGTGTTTCCTCAAGCGGAGAAGCGGGGTCCTTTGGCCATTCAGTTTGAGTCAGCTTGAGCCAGGGAGGACCGTGCCATCACAAATGAAAGGAGCTGAATTCGGAATTTGAAATCCCTCGAGAAGCACAATCTGCTGGATTATCCGCGGATGGGATGTAACGCCATTTGACATGAGGTAATCGTGACTGTATATCGGCAACTCGATGAGAGACGAAGGTTTTCCATTTTGATGGATGCGAGCTTAACCAGATGCGGGCTTACCCATTAGCTTTGCTAATGCTACTGTGGAATCCGTCCAATGACAGGCATCGTTTGACATATATAGCGATGGCTGAATAAACTCGATTAATCGAGCCAGAAGGCACGCTGCCTGTAACTCGAGTCGAGGGATACTCATCTTTTGTTTTGAGTGGCGCAACTTTTGATTTACCGGCTAATAAAGTTGTCGTTCTTTTTCCTGATCCTGATGTCGTCTGCATGTAAACTGCGGCGGCGTACGCAACATTAGACGCGTCTGCAAATCCGTGTAATTCGCAGTGTCATAATCCTGACCCGTCCACCGAGGAATTTGAAGATTATTTAAAGTGGATAAGTCTTGATAGATTGAATCCCAGCGCTCAAGGGTTTGTGACGGAATGACATCATCCCAGTCCAACTTTAATTTCCACAATTGTTGCATGAAGACTTTAGCGTTGATTGTCACGGGGGTGACACCCATTCTAACGGATCGAATAATTTCGCGATCGTTGATAAGATTGTCCTCTTCGTGTTGGGAAGTGATTGTGGAAGAGACACTCGGAATTGAAAAGTGTCACAAGCGGGATTCCATGATAATCCTAGGACGCTGAAATTCTCCTCAAGCGTGAGCGATCTATTTCCGGCGAATCCATGACATTCTTTCGGAATATCTGATAGTAAATCGGAGCTGTTGCTTGCCCATTTGCGTAAATTAAAGCCATCGCGAGATAAAAGATCGCATACTTGTTTGCGCGATTTGCGTAGCAATAGCATATCATTTGCTCCGAACAAAACGTCATCCACATAAATCTTGAAAAATCGGAGCGGCGAGGGGAAACGCGGCCCCTTCGTCAGTTAATAATTGCTTCAGCACTCTCAGAGCAAGAAACGGGGCTGAAGCGGTTCCATAAGTGACAGTCGATAGTTGATAATCCTGGATAGCGATTTGATCTTGATTATACCAGACGATGCGTTGGTAGTTGCGATCACGAGGGTCAATTAAAATCTGTTGATACATCTTGGCAATATCCGCCATGTAAACATACTTATGTTGTCGCCATCGCAGTAAAATCGACGTTATTTCTGTTTGCAATTTAGACCCGATTTCGAGATGAGAATTTAGTGATGTCCCATTTGTAGTGAGGCTCGATGCGTTAAATACTACGCGCAGTCTTGTGGTTGAGCTCGTTGCGCGAATTACGGGGTGTTGCGGTAGATAGACCATTTGCGACTGAGGCTTGATTGGCGGTTGCACTTTTTGCATGTGGTTTAGATGCTCATATTCCTCGAGAAAAGCCGAGTATTCCGAATTAATATCTGGATTCGTATCTAGGCGTCGTTTTAAAGCTATTAATCATTGTATAGCTATAGATCGTGATTCTCCGATGTCAATAGGCGTTGTTTTAAACGGAAGACGAACGACGTAACGCCCGCCGGAGGTTCGTGAGTGAGTCTTAACGAAATGATTTTCACACTGTTCTTCAGCAGGAGACAAAATTTTAGATCGTGGAATTTCCTCAATTTCCCAGAACTGACGTAAATCATGCTCGAGGGAACAATGAAAAACGTTAATTGTATGAGCGACAGCGTTTCGATTTTGAGCTGGTCCGGAAAGAATCCATCCAAAGTGAAATCGTTGGGTGATAGGTTGCCCTATTGGTCCTTTCCGGATTCCGTTCAGAATGACGTGACCATAAATATCAGCATCAATTATGATGTCAATAGGACTTGATCCTGTAGGATCGTCGTCCGCTAACGTGAGAGAATTTAAGTGTCTCCAGTCAGCTACTGATGCTGACAATAGCGGCGCGTATTTAGTTAGCGCCTTGAGAATGTATGCGACTGTTGTGAAAACTGGCTTAGGCTTTCCGCGGGGTACGAGTTCAATGATAGCGGAGTATCGACATGTATCCGCGTCGACACCTCCTACTGCGGAGATTTGAGCGAGAATTCGCTTTCGATTTAAACGCAATATTCTTGCTAATTTTTCTGAAATAAATGTGACCTCGGACCCTTGATCAATCAGGACACGAGCTTCACAGACCCGACCGTCGAGAGATCGGACCATTACTTTCGCCGTGACAGGTAGGACGGATGACACGGGCGCACTTGAACATACGGCGGACATTGCGACGGCCTTTGACGTTTCGGGAGCGTCGACGGTATTATTTACGCTTAACGCATTAGATTGTGTCGCGCTTGTATCGATAGAAGAGGTCGAATCAATATGCAAGAGAGAATGATGCATCTTTTGACACGTGCGACATGTATTTTTACTTTTACATTCTTGCGCGGAATGCTTTATGCCGAGACAATTGAAACATCTGTTTGAATTTTTCACTAATTCGCGTCGTTGATTCGAACTATTATTTAAGAATTGCTGACACCTACTAATATAATGCGGTTTTTTACAAAGTTTGCATTGATCGGGAGACTGATTAGAAAGTGTCGCATTATTCGATTTTACGGTTTGTCGACATTTATTGCCTTCGGAAGACGATAATTCTTCAATAGCGAGCGCACGCGACGATATAAAGTTAATTAAATCTTCGTAATTTGGCGACGTCGATTCAGATCCAGTTTTGAGTTTCCAAGCGCGGCGAGTGGCTGGGTCAAGCTTGAGCGATACGAAATAGACGAGAATATCATTGAGGATACCATATTGTGTTCGGTTTAAACGTCTTAAAGCTGAGAGTGCCTTATCGGCTTTGTCGCGTAAAGCGTGCAATTCCACAGGAGATTCCCGATTGACGGGAGGCAAATTATATAATTCCACAACATGAATTTCAATAAGCTTACGTTTATTTTCAAAACGAGAGGTTAACGCTTTCCAAGCGATGGCGAAATTATCAGCGGTTACCGGCTACAACATCGCGAACTCTATCGGCCAAGCTTGATACTAGAAAATGCATGCGAGCAAAATCGGACAGTTCATGATTCTTAATAATTAACGCTGTGAATCTATCGCGAAAATTTTCCCACTCGTCGGCTTTACCGGAGAACGGAGGTAATTTGATCGGCGGTAAATGTTTTAACGATAGCGATTCCGACTGTATATGAGATACAGATCGGTCGCTTGATTGGAACGGACTTACGCACGGTTCCAGTTCCTCTAAACATTTCGACATGAAGTCCAGCGCTTTTAGGCAGATTTCTTCGTACTGATCCCGTTGTTTCTCTCGGAAGTAGGCGATAGTGTCGCGCTTGGACTCCGGATACAGTTTCAGCAAGAGGCTGTGCACTTCCAGACACTTGTTTCAGGTTTCCTTGAGTGACGTCATTCGATTTCGTATCTTGGCGGGAGTGAGATTGTTCCGCCCGAGTTTCTTAAAATTGTCCAATGATTTTGCTATAGAACGTAGCAGCGAGAGCTGATTTTCCAGTAATTCACTCATTGTCACTGATGTCCACAACAGTTTTCAAAGTCACTCACAGAACTATTATCACGTTGTCTCAGAGTTCTCGCGATCCGGCTCGAAGGATCAAAATGTTCGGGATCGCAACTTTGAATTGCGATTTTATTTGTCGGGACACACCCGAGAGGGTATCGCGAGTTTGAAAATCACGTAATTTCGCACTGGATGAGTGACGGGATGAAATAACGTTAAATTGTTACGTTGATTGTACCACAGTGACATCCACACAAGAGTGGCGATAAGTTTATTGCACAAAAATACACGATATGTACAAGATTTGTGAGCTTTTGATGCATGTGCGACGTTATTTCGAGTATTGGAGCATGTCGAGATTCGTACTCGGTGTGGCGAAATCGCACTATACAATTGTTTCCTTGATATAACGATACAACGCGTTATCAGCTGTTCGTGTGAGATAAAGAGAGACGGCGTTCTATCGGCCGTCCGCGAGAGCGAGCGAGACCGCACGATTCACGGTTGAACGCACGAGATTGAGAGAGACAGCGTTCCATCAGCTGTCTGCGAGAGCGAGCGAGACGACGCTCTATCGGCCGTCCACGAGATCGAGCGAGACCGCACTATTCACGGTTTGCGTGAGAGCGAGTGAGACGGCGATAGTTCACGAGCACACGAATGAGCGGAGGCTCAATGAAAAGGAGGCTCCACCTTATGCCCAGAGTGGAGGCGCTCTGATGAATCCCGGCACTCGCGCTCAGACTGTTCACGTGTGATACGGAGTCGATTCGTTCTACTGAGTTCGCGACTGATTGTTCGCAATCCTTTATGCAATGATGAGTGAATTTACACACTCGCGGTTTTAATGTCTCACTTGCGATATACTTAGGAAAACATTAGAAAACATACAGTTGTTTTAAAAAAAAAAATATGGAATTGTTAATTGCAAATTACATATTTTTCCTTCGGAACAATTGTGTTTTTTTTACACCAATTGATTCCTTTCATTATTTTGTACATTAAAGTATTATGATAAGATAATCAAAAAATAAATATTTTACTAGATATTTTATAGTTTATGTAAAATTAAGATATTATTTTAAGCCTCATAAATCGAAAAGTACTCAATAAAAAAATACTTTATTATAGTGTTTTGGAAAGCTCCCGACATAGGCTATAAGAATATGCAATAAAAAATATGTGGTTGCATTTAAGAAATTAAAAGTGTCCTTGATCTGACCTTAATAATGCCATCCAAGGTCAAACCAATGACATCATCTTATGTTTCCCTCAATACCATACGATTTTTGTCGAAAACGTTTTTCTCTAAAATGCTTAATTTTTGAAAGAAAAGGGGTGTACGTGTAGTCTAGGACACCCTGTATATGCTGATGATGCGGTGATAGTGACGTATGAACGGCCATGCCTCTTCCGCCGCTCCTTATTAACTGCCCGCCGCACTGCTTCGTTGATACGCTGAAACAAACATAACTTTATATATATTTTTCATGAACACGCATTAGGCAGGAGTGATGTCCGTTGGCGGTGCGGTTATAGATATGCATGTGTGAGTATGATAACTTAAAGTTGTAATATATATACGAAGTATGCATTACGTACGTAACGAAGAAATTGTACAGCAAAAGAGAAAATTGTAGGAAATATTTCGATATTGTAACATTATTATAACAATATATTAGCATATATCATTATAATAATGCTATAATATCGAAATATCTCCTACAATTTTCTCTTTCGTTGTATGATTTCTTCCTTACACGTACATAATGCATGATTCATATATATACGTATAACTTTAAATTATTATACTCACGCATGCATATCTATAACCGCGTCAACGAACGTTTTTCTGTCTCTATGTATAGAAACACGTGACAAAAAATTTTGGATTTACCTTATTAAATCGGTCGCTCTCACGTAGTATATGGCGGGGCGGTGTGCGTTACATGTTCCTGGCTCTCAGAAGGTGCCGGTCCTTCTTGCATCATCTTAGACATCATCACTCCAGTAATCTGGGGTGATGATGTCCGAGACGATGCATTATTTTGCGTCTGGGAACGCGAGGCACCTTCACTTCGTGCTGAAAAATAAATAGAAAAATTATAAAGATTGTAATGATTAAAAAAACTAAATGAATAAATGAAAGGCAATAAAGAGCCAACGCAGTTGTAGGGCGTGGATAAAATAATTTCCAAAGCAGCAATTCAATTTTAACGATCCTTTTGCTTTATTCCAAACGTTTCGGACTCAATTCGAGCCTTCTTCAGTGATTCTAATAAAAACAAAGAAAAAAATACATAAATCAAATGAGAACAAAATAGAAACGCAATGTCAATAAAATACAAAAGAGAGGAGAAAGCATAGTCACATGAATGCATGGTCTATAAGAGCGACACGACTTCGTCAAGGCTGATCCATCCGAGAAAGCACGATGCAAAAGCCCTCTCAGCGGTACAAAGCGCGAAGAGCAATGCACTGACAAAATATATATAACCAAAACTAGTCACACGTTTTAAAAGCGAGAGAAATTCATTAACGTTAGTCAAAGGCCACTCACTCACTCAGACAAGAGATGAATCAGCAAAAATGGCACGAAATAATCGACACGATAACAGTCGAATGGGCCGATAATTTGAATGGTAACGGTAATCATGTCATAGTGTGGTCGGCAATAACAAACTAAATATAACAAGGACAAAGCCAGTCAAACAGAAAAACCGTTAAATTTTTCGCATGTTTTCAATAATCGACAGACACGAAGTATTCAATTTTAAAGTGTCGCTTTGGAGGTTTAACGCCTTCTTTTGACGCTTAATATGAATCATTTCCGACATTAGTCTTTTTCCTAAAAACATTTCTTCATCCAAAATCTCAACATCATCGAAATCAAAAGTGTGATTAAGCGCTCTATGTTCGGCAATGACGGACGTAAGATTCCTTCTATGTTCTTTGATCCTCGTCCTTAACAGGCGACTCGTTTGTCCTACGTAAGAGGCGTCGCAATCTGTGCAATTAATTTTATACACTATATTACTACGCCAATCCTTCCGTAAACCGTCCTTGCCGACTTTAATAAATCTGCGCAAATTGTTTATTCCGGTGTAAGAAAGCCTAACATCAAGATCTCTAACGCAGTATCGGAAACGTTCTGATATGTTCTTCACGTATGGAACATTAAAATATGTGATCTTGCTTCCACCTCTCTCAACGTCAATCACACTCTCAACATCATTCAAAGCGTTGTCATGTTTGTTCTTAAATCTATGAAATAGGATATTAAGCCGATCGACAAAGTGCGAAAGATAAGAGAGAGCGGATATCCATTGTTCAGAAGGATGTTAACAACAATTTCGAGATTTTCTTTATGAAATTTAGGATGAGAAAGCCGAAAAACTTTATCTGTTAGACCAATGATCGTGCCCTTTTTCTGGCAAAGGGGGTGTCGCGATTCAAAGTGGAGGTACCTTCTCGAGAAAGTTGGTTTATGAAACCAATTAAATTCAATATATCCATTCTCTAAAATAATTGTGATGTCAAGAAAATTCAAACGGTTGTCGACACCCTCCTCAACAGTGAATTGCAACCTTATGTGGAACGAGTTAAAAGTGTTCAAGACAAAATTGAGCATCGAGGAGGGAGCCGCCAACACGATGTCGTCAACATATCTGAAATAAAAGGGAAGATTCATAGGTAGAGCCGCGATAGCCCTTGACTCCAAATCTTGAAGCGTGATCTCAGCGATAATCGGGGAAATAGGAGAGCCCATGGGCGTGCCAAATGTTTATTGATAATAAACATCATTAAACATAAAAAAGTAGAATTCAAGATAAGGCGAACTGCCAATAGAAATTCATCGCGAGGTATCCGGCAATTAATTCCTATATAGTCCCATCTATCAGACAAACTATTAATGGCCATATCCAAAGGTATGTTGGTGAATAGTGAGACGACATTCAACGAAATTAGTTTTATATCGCCCACAATACGTTTGCCATTAAGTTTCTCGACTACTTGCGCACTATTAATAATTTGGCTATCAGGTCTCGGAATAGATTTATAAATGATGTCATGTACAAATTTAGCGAGACCATAAAGCAATGTGTTCTTAGATGAGACTATTATGCGTAACGGGTCATTTTTCTTATGAATTTTCGGCAGCCCAAAGCTCTCGGTAAAACGCCGTCTGTACAGTTTAACGATCTATACTTCGCAACAGAAATATAATCACGAGCTTTGGATGAAGAAATGTTTTTAGGAAAAAGACTAATATCGGAAATGATTCATATTAAGCACCAAAAGAAGGCGTTGAACCTCCAAAGCGACACTTTAAAATTGAATACTTCGTGTCTGTCGATTATTGAAAACATGCCAAAAATTTAACGGTTTTTCTGTTTGACTGGCTTTGTCCTCGTTATATTTGTTATTGCCGACCACACTATGACATGATTACCGTTACCGTTCAAATTATCGGCCCATTCGACTGTTATCGTGTCGATTATTTCGTGTCGTTTTTGCTAATTCGTCTCTTGTCTGAGTGAGTGAGTGGCCTTTGACTAACGTTGATGAATTTCTCTCGCTTTTAAGACGTGTGACTAGTTTTGATTATATATATTTTGTCAGTGCATCGCTTTTCGTGCTTTGTACCGCTGAGAGGTACCCTTTTGCATCGTGCTTTCTCGGATGGATCAGCCTTGACGAAGTCGTGTCGCTCTTATAGACCATGCATTCATGTGACTATGCTTTCTTCTCTCTTTTGTATTTTATTGATATTGTGTTTCTATTTTGTTCTCATTTGATTTATGTATTTTTTCTTTGTTTTTATTCAGAATCACTGAAGAAGGCTCGAATTGAGTCCGAAACGTTTGGAATAAAGCGAAAGGATCGTTAAAATTGAATTGCTGCTTTGGAAATTATTTTATCCACGCCCTACAACTGCGTTGGCTCTTTATTGCCTTTCATTATTCATTTAGTTTTGTTAATTTAGAGGAGCTTTTAACTTTATTTAATTTATTTTAATTGTAATGATTAAATTTAAATAAAGTAATAAACTGGCAATAAGAGTAGTGTTATGTGTGAATATATATATATATATATATATATATATAATATACATTATATATATATATATATATATATATATATATATATATACACGTCTAATACGTTTTACTCTCATTTAATTACTTTATTTGAAGTACAAAAGAGTATAATAAAAGATACGAAAAAAATGATTAAAGAAAGAAGGAAGAGAAAGGTTGATGGTAGAGAACGAGATATTAACGCTTACGTATGTCGTAATCATGGACGTAAAGTAAGACAGAGAAAAACATATACATAAATAGCATATATATTTTTCTCTGCCTTATTTTACGTCTATGATTACAACAGACGTAAATGCTAACATCTCGTTCTCTGCCATCAGCCAAAGAGTATAAAAGCAATAATACGAGAGATATCATTTACTTACACTTACGCAATAAAAGTAATAATTTATAGTGCATATTTTTACTATTTCATGCTATAATTGCATGAAATAAATTTACAAGTTTTATACAATCAAGCATTAACAGCTTGCAGCAAACTATAGATATTTCTCTAAAATACATTTAAAAACATAAATAATACTACTGGCTATATATCAAAATTATTTTATTTATTTAGAAAAATTTGTTTATATTTTACTTTATGCCTTTTTATGTATTTATTAGCGGATAGTATGCGACACATTTTATGATATAAAAATATAATTTTTTATATATCCAGGACTGTTATATATATATATATATGTATATGTGGCGTTCTGCCATACGCCACACAGGCGTAACGGCGTACAGCGCCGAGCGCCTGAACGCGCGGCAATCTAGGCGCGCAAACTAGCGCGCGGCAGCACGGGCATACAGGCGCCGATCTTCGCGCAAGTGAAATCCGGCAGGGCCCGTATATAAGGCCGACCGCGAGAAGCCGAATTTGAGTCTCAGCTCGGAGCATTTGCAGGGTCAATAACACTGCATATTATTCAGCTTGAGTACTCCTCTTTTGTGTAACCGGAGGGTCATACTTCCGCTAACATTCGCCGCCAGCCGAGCCGCATTCCACGACCAGCGTCGACGCCCCGATCACCAGGGCCACTTCGACCGTCGAACGGGGAGCAGCTGCCGAGCCGGAGAAGAGGGTGTCGTTCACCTTGCTGCAAAGCTGCCAGATCTCCGCCGCAAGCAACATGCAACACGGCGTGGAGGGGGTAATGAGGATGTAAGCGTAAGCGTACGTGTGAGCTCGGCGCTTCGGCTAGCTTCGGATAGAAGAAGAGGACAGAATACAGTCTTCTGTCTCCTTCCTACCGAAAGACGGGCACGACGCGTCACGCTCTACGATATCTCGATATGCGCTCAATGTTTCTTTTACAGCATTTTTATTGTATAATGTGTTTAGAATATGTCCCTGTATATATATATATATATATATATATATATATATATATATATATATATATGTATACACATACATATTATAAACATATTATACGACAAAGAATAATATTTAAATAATTATAATATATTTGTATAATGTATATATATATATATATATATATATATATATATAATATTTAATATATTTAATATATTTATTATATATATATATATATATATATATAATATATATTATATATATATACAGGGTGGGCCATTTTAAGTGATCCACTCAAATATTTCGGAAAATAATGAAAAATCAAAAAAATGTTTCAGATAAAAGTTGTATGGCTTGAAGGGGGCTATCAGATAGTGGCAATGATTTGACCTTGGAGAGTCATTTGAAGATGATGTAAAGGTAACCTTCAATTTCTTAAATGGAACTCCCTATTTTTTATTACATATTCGTGTAGCTTATCTCGAGAGCTTTCCAAAACACTATAATAAAGTATTTCTTCATTGAGTACTTTTCGAGTTATGAGGCTTGAAATCATTTCATAATTTTGTATAAACCGTAAAATATCTAGTAAAATATTCATTTTTCGATTATCTTGCTTTAATACTTTTGTGTACAAAATAATGAGAGGAATCAATTGGTGTAAAGAAACAGTTATTTTTAAGAAAAAATATGTAATTTGCAATTAACAATTACATATTTTTTCTTTGAAACAACTATGTGTTTTTTTTACACCAATTGATTTCTCTCATTATTTTGTACATAAAAGTATTAAAGCAAGATAATCGAAAAATGAATATTTTACTAGATATTTTACGGTTTATACAAAATTAAGAAATAATTTCAAGCCTCATAACTCGAAAAGTACTCAATGAAGAAATACTTTATTATAGTGTTATGGAAAGCTCTCGAGATAAGCTACACGAATATGTAATAAAAAATAGGGAGTTCCATTTAAGAAATTGAAGGTTACCTTTACGTCATCTTCAAATGACTCTCCAAGGTCAAATCATTGCCACTATCTGATGGCCCCCTTCAAGCCATACAACTTTTATCTGAAACATTTTTTTGATTTTTCATTATTTTCCGAAATATTTGAGTGGATCACTTAAAATGGCCCACCCTGTATGTATATATATATTATTAAATATATATACAGGGTCTACCAAAAGTGTGGAAACCCCTAAATATCTCGGAAAATATACGTTTTACAGAAAAGTGTTTCCAACAAAAGTTGTAGGGTTTAAGAAGATCTATATACTGATTCTATCAGTTTGACCTTGGATGGCGTCGTCAAGGTCAGGTCAAGGTCACATTGACTTTTTTAAATGACACCCCCTACATTTGATTGCATATTCTTATAGCTTAATTCAAGAGCTTTCCAAAACACTATAATAATGTTCATTTTTATTAAGTACTTTGCGAGTTATGAGGGTTGAATGATAGAGTAGCGCCGGTATTAACATTATCCAAGGTGTACTACATGGAGGTTACTCGCTCGGATTTGCATCTGTTGTGTGTGTGATCCAGCTAACTAAGGCAAGATCGGTCGTGGATCCAGTCAGCAAAAGCAAAGACCCAACCAAATTACAATCGAGCATTTAAAGACCTGGAAAGCAATCGACATAGTAAACAGTAAATAAATTTGTGGATGCTCATTTATCATAATAATTGTTCGAAATGTGTGCGTGTGCGTGCGTGCGGTGCGTGTATACAGAGATCAGGTTAGGTTGCACCAAACGATTGCAAATGTGTTTCAATGTGTTAAAGTAAATGCTGAAAGTGGCTGCCATTTACTTCCTGACAATATGCTAATCTTTGGTAGAATGTAGAAATGACTTTACGATTCGTTTCAAAAGGTATCAAAGCCATTTCATCCCTTATTCGCTGTATCAATTCGTGAATGGTTTTAGGTTTTGTTCTGTAAACCTTACTCTTCAGATATCCCCATAGATAATAATCAAGAGGAGTTAGATCTGGTGACCGAGGTGGCCAATCCTCTCCTCCCTCATTTCCGTTCCTTCTTCCAATCCACCGTAGCGGAAAAGTCTCATTTAAAATACGACGTGGTCCTGCACCAAAATGAGCAGGAGCTCCATCATGCTGAAACCATATTTCTTGGAAATTATTTGGAAAAGTATTCTGTATGGCTGGAATTATTTGATCAACAAGTAATCTCTCATACCTTTGAGCGTTCAAATATTCTTCAAAAAAAAACGGCCCTATTAAATAGCCATCTATTATTCCGCACCATACATTTATTTTTTGTGGATGTTGTGTGTGAGTTTCCCGCACCCAATTCGGATTCTCATCTGACCAGAAACGAAAATTTTGATTATTAACTTCTCCTGTTAAGGTAAAAGTTGCCTCGTCTGTGAAAACAATTTGATAAGGGAAGATGGGCCGGACATCTATTAGTGCCATCATTCTTTCACAGAAATGTATACGACGCTCCTCATCTCCGTTTTGCAATTCTTGAACGTATTGCAATTTATATGGATGGAACTTGTTCTTCTTTAAAATTCTCCAAACCGACATGGGAGCAATATCGTGAGTTTGAGCGACTCTCTGAACACTAGAATTGGGATCTTCAATAAATGTCTGCAGAACATCAAGTTGTTTTTCTTCGTTGGTTGCAGACAATGGTCTTCCTGACTTAGAGCGATTTCTTACGCTACCAGTTTGTCTAAAACGTTTTATTGTTTTTAACACAGTGGACTTATTAATTCGACGGTTCGGATACGTGTCATTAAATAATCGAACGACATCAGAGAACGATCTTTCGTTATCACCCCATCCACGCATCATGAGGATAGTGATTCTTTCACGTTCCGACAAGTCGCCAGCCATTTTTAAAACGTTTAATTTTAATTAATCGTACGTTGTATTTGGACGATAACAATTAATTTCTGCTTGCTCAAAGCTGAAGTTAGAAGGTGCTCGTTCTTTGATAGCTTTATACATTCTTAGTTGAATTTTAAATGCGAGTTAGACTGCATGTAGTGCGTCACATAGCGGTAAATGAAGGAACTAACGAGACGTTTCATACACGTTTTATGGAGCAATTTTTTGGCAATTTGACTTCAGCGAAATATGAGGATATGTTGAGGAATCGATCTTGCCTTAGTTAGCTGGATCACACACACAACAGATGCAAATCCGAGCGAGTAACCTCCATGTAGTACACCTTGGATAATGTTAATACCGGCGCTACTCTATCATTCAACCCTCATAACTCGCAAAGTACTTAATAAAAATGAACATTATTATAGTGTTTTGGAAAGCTCTTGAATTAAGCTATAAGAATATGCAATCAAATGTAGGGGGTGTCATTTAAAAAAGTCAATGTGACCTTGACCTGACCTTGACGACGCCATCCAAGGTCAAACTGATAGAATCAGTATATAGATCTTCTTAAACCCTACAACTTTTGTTGGAAACACTTTTCTGTAAAACGTATATTTTCCGAGATATTTAGGGGTTTCCACACTTTTGGTAGACCCTGTATATATATATATATATATACATTATAAATATATTATACAAATATGAATATGTACTAATTATATTACCAAAATATATTATAAAACTATTTAGTATAGTATTTAACTTGTTTCTCTATAAATATACATTTAAAATAATAAAATAAAGAAATTTAATGAGTGTGGCGATTTTCCACACCACCCACGGGGTATCACCAATGGCGCGTTAGATTTTTTTATGTGGATCTTCGCCTAGAGCCCTATTATACCACATTGTATTTATATATAGAGGATGGGGAAAAAATATCTAGGAATAAGGGATAAAAGGAATAAAATATTGAATAAATAAATATTCTATAAATTATTAATTATTTTTTATTAATTATTTTTTATGTTTGTATATATCAATAATAATAATAATTTTTAATAACGGTTCCGCCTCCTCGGCCTCCTCGAGCCCAACCGCCTCCTCGGCCTCCTCGGGCCCAACCGCCTCCTCGGCCTCCTCGGGCCCAGCCGCCTCCTCGGCTTCCTCGGGCCCAGCCATCTCCTCGGACCCCGGCGCCTCTTCGGGCCCAGCCTCCTTGACCTCGGTCGCCTCCTCGACCGCCAGACATGCCCCTGCCGCGCTGGGTATACTAGCGGGCACGAGCCTTGCCGCTTCCTCTTTTTTTAATTTTATTTTCTGAAAAATAAAACAAATTATAATATATATATATATATATAATTTAATATAAAAAATCATGTACCATTTTGCTCCTGCTGTTGCTCCTTCTGTTCCTGCGGCGGCGGCGGGGGCGGCGGCGACGGCGGCTGCTGCTGATGCTGCTGCTGGTGCTGGTGCTGGTGCTGCTGCTGCTGCTGCTGCTGCTGCATAAATATTTGCAGCTGATGCAACAAATTTTGCTGATGCAACATTTGTTGCATCAGCTGCTGCATCGTTGGCTGCGCAGCATCTTGCAGCACCAAAGCGCCCATCTCTTCATTAATATCTTCTATAAAATTATGAAGAAAAAAATTAAAATAGAAATTAAAGATTAAATTATTTCTTAATATCTTTGTATAAATAATGATTTACTTACGAGACATGTTCGATCTGTCGCCGTGCTTGGATGAACAGACAATGAGACACACTCGGCATTTGTTTATTTGTTTCATGCCGTTTAATTTGTTTTACGCCGTTCATTTATTTCGCGGCATTTATTTTCATCAGATAATCTTGTCGCCTTGTACTATCAAGTAAACATATTTTTTTATACGTGCTCTGAAATCTTGGTGTTCAAGAACTGTCACAATCCCGATTTGTGTGTGAGTTCTGATTATTTCAAATTTCTATATATATATATACCATTTTTCTTCTTTAATTCTTTGTTTCTGTCTATTTTTTGATTCACAAAAATGAGTGATGAATTGAAAAAAAAATTTAAGCGAAGCTTTTCAGATGCTTGGCTCAATGATGATCGATATAAATCTTGGATACGCAAAGTACCATCCGACGATAGTCTTTATTATTGTAGTATATGCAATAAAAATTTTTCGTGCAATACACATATTTTAAGACATGCGGATTCTGCGTGTCATAAAAATAATATTAAAGAAAATAATTTAGCTTTAAATACTAATAATGTGTGTGAAAATAATAATAAAAATTCAGATAAAAAAATATCTGAAAAATATAAATTTCAAGAACAATGGCTAGAAATAGAATTATTTAAGCCATGGTTACGCAAAGTATCACATGATGAAAATTTATTTTTTTGTTCATTTTGTGATAAATCAATGAGATGTGATTTATCGAAAATTTATCGTCACGCAGAATCCAAAGCGCATATAGAAATATGTAAAATTAAAACAGAAACAAAGAATACAAACGAAAATATAAACATAATAGATGATTCACTTTTGTCGTTTGAAGAGCGAAAAAAAATAGCAGAAATTCGATATGCTGCATTAATTGCTGATAAAAATATTTCGCATCAAACTGCAAAAGAAATTCTCAACTTTTTTCAACATATTGGAAAAGACCCTAATGTGTTAAAAAGCATGAGTATGGGCCGAACAAAATGTAAAAGCATTATTACAAATGTTTTATGCCCAGTTGAAACAGATCGTGTCGTCAATAAAATTCAGAATACAAAATTTTCAATTTTTATTGACGAAACATCTGATATAACTAATGATAAATGGATGACTTTTCTTGTCCGATACGTTGATCCAGAGACATTAGATATTCGCTCACAATTAGTTAAATTAATTGATATTGATGCCAAAGATTCAAGTGCAGAAAAGTTGTTTAAGGCATTTAAATGTGAAATGTGGAAATTACAGATTCCATTTTTAAATATCGTAGCTTTATCATGTGACAATGCATCTGTTATGACAGGAAAACATTTATCGTTTAAAAAAAAATTAGAAGAAATATGTCCACATTTATTAACGTTTTCATGCCCATGTCATTCCTCCGCATTAGCAGCGCACGCTGCATGTTCTAAAATGCCCGCATATTGCGAAGAATTTCTAAAAAAAATTGCTACTTATCTCAATAGCAGTCCAAAACGTACGGCTATTTTTCGTGAATTTTGTGAATGTTTCCAAGAAACAAATCGCAAAATATTGAAATTATGTGATACGCGCTGGCTTTCGCATTATTTATGTATCGAAAGACTTCTTGAATCTTGGGATACAATTAAATACTTTCTTATTGAAATGGTTGTGAGCGAAAAAACAAATTCTGGAGAATATCTCTTGTCTATGATGGACAACGTAGAGATAAAAGCTTATTTTCTATTTTTAAAATATGTGTTGAATTTTTTTAATGCATTTAATGCATTTTTTCAAGCATTAGAAACAAGGATTCATTTATTATATCCAAAATCTTTAAACTTTCTTTTCCAAATCTGTCGAAATTTTATAAAAGAAGAATATTTAAAACCATTTTCTTCAAATATTATATTTTCATTAAAAGAAAATCAAAAACCTATTAATGAAATTATTTTGGGATCAGAATGTGAGGAATATCTAAACGAATTAACGCTGAAAGGTCACATAAACATAGTTACAATTGTTCGAGAGAATTGTTTATTATTTTATGTGACTGCTGCAGAAGAAATTCGTAAAAGATTACCTCTAAATAATATATTTTTATCAAAGTTACAAGTTTTTCAACCATATATAAGTTTATTTGATAACAATAGAGAAACATCATTCAATGATGTTTCTTTTATAGCTAAAACTATCGGCGGTTTTGATGAAACTGATTTAAAGAAGGAATGGATGGCCTTACCATCAGATTTTACAATAGAAGAAAAACAAAACTTTTCTAAATTAAATTTCGACAGCATGTGGAAAAAAATTTTACAAAATCGACACAACAATCTTGCTAAATATCCCAATTTAACAAATATTATAAGTACTATTCGATCTCTTCCAAATTCAAATGCCGATTCGGAGAGAATGTTTTCTCTTTTAAATAATTTAAAAACAAAAAAACGTAATAGTTTTTCGTCAGCTACTGTTAATGCTATTTGTGTATTTAAATCTGCATTAAAAACGAGAGGCGAGACAGCTATCAAAATGAAAATTGATGAAAAGCATTTGTCTCTTATGTCAGCGGATAAGTTATATGCTACCGTTGCTAAAAAAAATAAAAGTATTTTAAAATTACATGCTGCAGATACCATTGACATAGCTGGCCCCTCATCTCATAAATAATAAATTTATTACAAACATTACGCTTGTAAAAGATAAATACGTGAAAAACATCTCGTCTGTTACAAATATCATATTTGTAAAAAGTAGGAGTATTAAGAATATTCTTGTCTGTATAACAGACATCATATTTGTGGAATGTAAAAGTATTAAAATCATCTTGTCTGTGTAACATCATATTTGTGGAAAGTAAAAGTATTAAAATCATCTTGTCTGTGTAACAGACATCATATTTGTGGAAAGTAAAAGTATTAAAATCATCTTGTCTGTGTAACATCATATTTGTGGAAAGTAAAAGTATTAAAATCATCTTGTCTGTGTAACAGACATCATATTTGTGGAAAGTAAAAGTATTAAAATCATCTTGTCTGTGTAACATCATATTTGTGGAAAGTAAAAGTATTAAAATCATCTTGTCTGTGTAACAGACATCATATTTGTGGAATGTAAAAGTATTAAAATCATCTTGTCTGTGTAACATCATATTTGTGGAAAGTAAAAGTATTAAAATCATCTTGTCTGTGTAACAGACATCATATTTGTGGAAAGTAAAAGTATTAAAATCATCTTGTCTATGTAACATCATATTTGTGGAAAGTAAAAGTATTAAAATCATCTTGTCTGTGTAACAGACATCATATTTGTGGAAAGTAAAAATATTAAAAACATCTTGTCTGTGTAACAGACATCATACTTGTAAATGATAAAATAATGCAATGTGGTATAATAGGGCTCTAGGCGAAGATCCACATAAAAAAATCTAACGCGCCATTGGTGATACCCCGTGGGTGGTGTGGAAAATCGCCACACTCATTAAATTTCTTTATTTTATTATTTTAAATGTATATTTATAGAGAAACAAGTTAAATACTATACTAAATAGTTTTATAATATATTTTGGTAATATAATTAGTACATATTCATATTTGTATAATATATTTATAATGTATATATATATATATATATATATATATATATATATATATATTTAATAATATATATATACATACAGGGTGGGCCATTTTAAGTGATCCACTCAAATATTTCGGAAAATAATGAAAAATCAAAAAAATGTTTCAGATAAAAGTTGTATGGCTTGAAGGGGGCCATCAGATAGTGGCAATGATTTGACCTTGGAGAGTCATTTGAAGATGACGTAAAGGTAACCTTCAATTTCTTAAATGGAACTCCCTATTTTTTATTACATATTCGTGTAGCTTATCTCGAGAGCTTTCCATAACACTATAATAAAGTATTTCTTCATTGAGTACTTTTCGAGTTATGAGGCTTGAAATCATTTCTTAATTTTGTATAAACCGTAAAATATCTAGTAAAATATTCATTTTTCGATTATCTTGCTTTAATACTTTTATGTACAAAATAATGAGAGAAATCAATTGGTGTAAAAAAAACACATAGTTGTTTCAAAGAAAAAATATGTAATTGTTAATTGCAAATTACATATTTTTTCTTAAAAATAACTATGTTTCTTTACACCAATTGATTCCTCTCATTATTTTGTACACAAAAGTATTAAAGCAAGATAATCGAAAAATGAATATTTTACTAGATATTTTACGGTTTATACAAAATTATGAAATGATTTCAAGCCTCATAACTCGAAAAGTACTCAATGAAGAAATACTTTATTATAGTGTTTTGGAAAGCTCTCGAGATAAGCTACACGAATATGTAATAAAAAATAGGGAGTTCCATTTAAGAAATTGAAGGTTACCTTTACATCATCTTCAAATGACTCTCCAAGGTCAAATCATTGCCACTATCTGATAGCCCCCTTCAAGCCATACAACTTTTATCTGAAACATTTTTTTGATTTTTCATTATTTTCCGAAATATTTGAGTGGATCACTTAAAATGGCCCACCCTGTATATATATATAATATATATTATATATATATATATATATATATATATATATATATAATAAATATATTAAATATATTAAATATTATATATATATATATATATATATATATATATATATACATTATACAAATATATTATAATTATTTAAATATTATTCTTTGTCGTATAATATGTTTATAATATGTATGTGTATACATATATATATATATATATATATACATATATATATACAGAGACATATTCTAAACACATTATACAATAAAAATGCTGTAAAAGAAACATTGAGCGCATATCGAGATATCGTAGAGCGTGACGCGTCGTGCCCGTCTTTCGGTAGGAAGGAGACAGAAGACTGTATTCTGTCCTCTTCTTCTATCCGAAGCTAGCCGAAGCGCCGAGCTCACACGTACGCTTAGGCTTACATCCTCATTACCCCCTCCACGCCGTGTTGCATGTTGCTTGCGGCGGAGATCTGGCAGCTTTGCCTTGCTGCC